GCATTCTTATTTCTTGCTGTTACTTTTGAGTGCTTTCAGCTTTGATAAAATAACAAAAAGCCTGCCCCCCTCCTCCCCAGTTTCCAGTCTATGCTGCCTACATGGGCTCTAATTCAAAACCAGAACAGGAGTTTGATGAAACCATACAGGGGTGATATTGTGGATGTCCCAGCCCTGGAAGCCAGGTTGGATTGGGCTAGGAGCAACCTGGTCTACTGGGAAATGTCCCTGCCCACGGCAGGGGGGTTGGAACTGGATGATTCTTCAGGCCCCTCCTAAACTAAAGCTTTTGCCTGTCCTTTTTCCTGGTGACAGTAATGGGCTCAGACTGAAATACCAATCAATTTCCCCTCACAAAAGCATTTCGTCCATTTCAAAAGAGCATTTAGGCAGAAATTCACAGGCAGTCAGGAATGTTGTCCTGGCAATATCAAAAGCCATGGCTGCCTTGGGACACCAGCATGGCCCAAGCATTCCGAGGCTGAGGGTGGGTTTTCTTTATCAGAACTCACTGCTCTCTCTCAAAACTAGCAGGCTGCCTCTGGCAGGAGTTCAGAATAACATGTCATGTTGATTACAGCCCCTCCTGCAAAGCAGGGAGGTGTTGCCTTCACAGAAAAGGCATTCCCTGCCACATGGGGTTACACAGATCTACAAAGTCCAGCCTGTTCTGATGATTGTGATAAATTCTACAGGTGTAAAAAAAAATTAAAACATTATACATTTTCCTTTTTAATATGCTTAACATCAGTTGTTTTAAGGGAGACAAACCATTCCAACTCTCACTTAGCTTTCTATGAACTACAAGGAATTCTTGTAAAACGATGCTGTCACATAGTTTCTTTGCCAAGGTTTAACAAATTGTTTTAATAAAGACTTGCATTATTGAATGAGAGTTGTATTTTAAAGGAAATTACAATGCTTATTTGTAAGGATTCTAGATTATTGCACCAAAATGTGCTTTTTGAATGATTCATCAATCCCCATTTCTCATCCCCTATGTTCTTCTGTATTAATGTTCGTTTTCTATATTAATGTTTATTTCTTATTCCCTAATTTGCTGTTATAGCTAATTGCACAAGATATGCAAGGAGAAACACTAATTACTAAATCAGACTCTGGCTTTTAAAAGGCTCAGGGGAAATAAACCAACAAATGGGAAGACAGGGACCTGTTTATTTTCCCTCCTCCTTGTCTGACAGGCTGCACAAGGAGTCACTGGGCTTTAAGGGAGCACACGGAACAGTGGCTTGGGCTTTTTTATCTGGGGTGGGGGAGCAGGTTGCTAATCTGTTGTCCAAACCTGGAGTCCTGACAGGGAATTTGCAGGGTACTAATTGCCACGTGGAATGAACATCCACAGGTGTATGCTGCCACACACTCATGTCACAGAATCATTTAACCTGGAAAAGACTTCAAGATCATTGAGCCCAACCATTAACTCAGCACTGCCAAGTCCACCACTAAACCACCTCCCCAAGTGACACATCCTCTTTTGAACATCTCCAGGGATGATGGTTCCACCACTTCCCTCCAAAGCCTGTTCCAATGTCTGCTCCACTTTGTTCTCCTGGCTGATGACACAACGTGTGAGCTATCTGAGATACCACCCGTCATCCTTGGAACTCTAGAAAGACTGGAATTTTTTTAACCTCTTTGCTGTCAATTTGTCCTGACATGCGAATTTTCTGATGTGGGGTTTCATCCTTATTTTCTTCCAGCTGACACTGCTTGGTGACTCCCTGAAAATGCTCCCTCTGAGAGGATATAAATTAAACAGACATATTTTAGCATTCCTGCTTCCCAGAGGAGAGGAGGAGCCATTTCCACTCATTCTCCATCTCTGGCCAGGTGTGCTTGCCAGCTGTAAGGGAGGAAGGAAAGCAAGACCTTGCTGGACCCTCGTTTTGCCTCTCACTGGAAGCAGAGGAGTGGGAAGCTTGTGGAAGATGGGGATGAAGCCAAGCTCCAAGCAGGCACAGTGTGATCCCTACAATGCCAATGGAATGCTGCCATTTGGCTGCCTCAAGGCACCATGCAGGGTCTTCCCTCTGAGGGTTCTCATCAGAAATTGGGCTTGGTGGAAGCCACTTCTGAAAATTCCAAAAAACTGCTTAACATTTCTGAAAATACCTCCTTAGAATGACAGATGGAGAGTCTTCTTCTTCCTCACCAGTAAATGACAACTTAGAAGAATAGATACTGGTCATCCATGTGGGGAATTACTATTTTGGGCTTTTTCTTTTGTACATGTTCATAAGTTAAATATATGTGGCCCTAAAACAGAAGAGCGAGTCTCTTGAGGATTTGCTTTGTGAAGCCCAGAGATAAAAGTGATTTTAAACTCAAAATGCAACTCAAGAAAGACTCTATTCACAGCTGATCATCTCAGTACAGGATAATGAAACCTGAAAGCCACTGGAAAAAGGCTGTAAAAATTACTAAGAATCCAACCATATTTTACTGCTGGAAAAAGCTCATGTAAGATTGCTGAATGGAAGATAAAGTCCATACAAAATGTAGGAAAGGCCAGTTGAGTGAAAATATCTAAATTTTTTCAAAAGACAGGCTGTGGTGCTGACAACCTAAACACAAGCTGTCAGTCATCCTCATTAAGTGCTCTTTGGAAAACCAAAGTGAGCCCATTGGGATGAACAGAGCACTAATTTCACAGAGCAGAGGAAAGGATAGTGGAATTAATATATAGATGGTCATAGAAAAGGATAAAATGGTGAACAGTAAAATTCTGGGATGATAAGGCAGAGAGATCAACATTTTTGCTTTTTTTCCTCAGTCCTACTTCACAAAATACTGACTTTTTCTCTTAATCATCTTCTTCCTCTAATTGTCCTTCCCAATTTCAAAGGACCCATAATTCCAAGTCTCTTCTAGAATTCAGTTAATAAAATACCATTTACACATCCTAACACTGAAGGCAACTTGAATTACTTGAATTTTGTGCTTCAAAAACACAGTCTACAAGAAAAACACGAAGAGTCCTCTCAAAGAGCTTCCACCAGGTGTAATTTACCTTATGAACACTGGCAGCTCGAGTCCTTTGGCTGGCTCCATCTCCTGCTTTTGAAGACATCAGTGAGATACCACACCCCCTTCCAGCCCCAAGCCTTCCCATTCCCAGACTGGAGTAATGTGGCTCCAGCTGGATTTTGCACTGCTAACCGATACTCCCTGACACAGGTTGTGGTCTGCAGCACAGACTCTCAGTCTGATCCTTGATGGGGGATGTTTTCACCAAAATGTGGGTCTTTTCGTTACTTTTCAATGTAATGCGTTTTACTATTAATTCTGTGGTTTTAAAGTTAGAAAACTCTGATGAAAAGTACTGAAAAAGTCTGAAGTCAGATAAATCTAGATTCCTCTCCTTTTATTCATTTGTCCATCTACCACAAATCACAGTATTCTTATATTTTCCTTTTCATGTTTTCGTTCTCTAAGCAAGAGAATGCCAAGTAAATCTGCCATTTCTCTGTCCATTTTCATCTAATTAATAACATCATCAGGAGAAAACATCTCCACCTGAGCTGGCAAAGACCTCTCAGCCCTCCACCAGCAGCAAGACAGGTCAGAGACAAATAGCTGACATGAGATGTGTTTGGAGGCTCCTGTGCACCGCAGTGAGCGGTGCAGGCTGCTTTCCTTTCCACATATTTATGACTCATAATACGTCCCAGATCTTGAAACAGGACCGTGTGGTTCTGATGATGAACCAGGGGAGCTATGCAGCTCACTCCCTCACAACTGGTAACTCTGGATGATTGCTCGACTTGGAACCCTTTAGCTGATCCTCATCATGAAAGAATTACAAAAAAAAGGGCAGGAATGGATCGTATGTTTAAGTGTCAGAAACATCTCCACGCCTTTCAGAAACAGGGAAACAAGGAAACCAGTAAAATATACATTTGTCTGCCATAAAGTGTCAAAATTTAGAGGAACGCACTACCACTCGATAAATTGTAAACTGTGCTAAAGTTATGACATGTATTTTGTGTATTTTTTGCATATTATTCCCCTTCAGCAAAACTTCTTGATAATTTCAAAATGCTTAACTGGCATAACACAGCCCTCAATATGTTTGGTGTTACATTTAAAAGCTTTCATTTGTTAAAGTTTTCATGTATTATTAAAATCACTGCTTGGATGTGGTACAGTTTGTATTAAAGGATAATATTCAAACTAAACATACAGCTTTTTAACAGATGTTTAATTACAGCAGCTCCTCAAAGGCTGAAATCACTTGTGGAACTCATGTTATTTCAGATGAAACTACTTACATACCAATAAGGGCTACTCTGGCCCGTTTTCTTTTCACTTTTGAGGGGCATGATGAAGTTGGGAGCACTTTTAGCCAAAAAGAACTGGTTCCTAATGGCCAGTTTTGAGACAACCTCTAAACCAAACAAGGAACACATAAACCCCCCTTGAACTGTTGTCCTTTTTCTAAGTTCTTTACACTTAGCACTAATTCTAACCTCAGAACTCACCTCTTGCCTGCAGCCTTAACTTTTTCACTCTCTGCATTCTCCAAGAAGTTGTCTAAGCGTGATTTATCCCTTTGTAAGTATAAAAGAATGCAGTTATTTATTGTTCAACTGCTGCTTTATGACAGAAAGCTCTTGTTCTCACACTCCTCACTGTCTGTGTACTGGAAAGCTCCAGCTTTCAGCCAAGATGGAAATCGTGGTTAACAAACGTGAAACCAGGTGCTGCTGATAAAACCCTATGGACTAAAATACAGTTTTTATTGTTTTATTAGAAATATGAAAGTAGATTTGGCACTTTTTGACATTATCTTTTGGCACAACAATCTCATGATACTCTTCTCCATCTTCCTGAGATATGTACTTGCTTCTTAAAGCCTGTTTTTTGATTAAAAAGTTTATGTAGCTTAAAAACCTTACAACTTAAACCCCGAAAGTGAAGATCAAGGAGTGTAAATTAGAGAGAAAAGACAAAAGGTTTCCAATAACACACACTAAAGATTTTAAATAAATATTTTAATTCTATTATTGGCATTTACAGGTAGAAAGCATACAGTATGTTACAATTTTATCAAAACGTGAAAAATATGGATGTTACATAAGTAACAAATGTAAAAAAAGTATTTTTCTTACCTTCCCTGAAAGTAAGAAAACTATTCAGCATAGGAAAATATTGATATAAAAACACAGCTTAGGTAAAAAAAAAAAAAAAAAAAAAAAAAAAAAGAATTGAAGTTTTTACACAGTACAATAGGTTCATCAGATCTGCATGAAGATGTAAGGAGTTTGTGAGATTCTATTTTACCTACAACTTTAGGGAATTGGGAACAACTGGTAAGCTACGTTAATGAATCTACAAGTAGTTTTCCCTCATATCTGCTCCAAAATGCTAGAGTGCAGTAATTTTCTATACAATAAATAATTCTTCAAAGTTTCCATCATAGAAAATCATAGAATGCAGAAAATGCCACTCCAAGGTCACAGAGGCTAGGCAGTGCTTTAATAACAATTATGATAATACTTATTATAGTGCTTTATAATGTTGAAGCACTACAGGCGAGTTTAACTAATTAGCCCTCACAACACCCCTGTGAGGCAGGGAACCAAGTGTTTTTCCTACCTTTCCACGGTACAGATGGGAAAATGGAAGCAGGGGAGAAGCACAGGCTGCAGCAGCAGCAGCACAGCCAAGCTGAGAGGCCACGAGATGTGGGGATGGACACGTTTGTCCCTTGCTGCTGTGTGCCAGGGGGCTGGGCTGGGCTGGACAAATGACCAGGAATCACAGGGGGGGTAGGGAGGGACCAGGATAAAGTAAGCATCCCCAAAAACGTTTCCTAGAGATTCAGAAGCTCTCACACAGCTTTGTCAAAAAACCCCAAACCAAACAAAAACAACAAAACAAAAAATGAAAGAAGAGATAAAGAAACCTGAAACAAACAAATAAACAAACTGAAAAGAAAAAAAACCCAAAAAACAAAAAACCCAGAAATCTCCTAAAGTGCTGACTGGCTTGAGCTGCTTCTAGCACCTCTTGTATGGAATAAGACTTACAGCAAGCACTGTTGCCAGCAATTATTCAAGCTGATTTCATCCATAAAGTCACATGAGAGCAACCGTAGGATATGGTAACTACATTTTCTGAGACACCTCACTACTGTACTTCCTTCATTCACCACCTTAGTTCCACACTCTTCTTAAGGAAAATGGAATCCTCAGTACTCTTGCATTGTAAAACACGTTAGTAGCTGGAGACAATACGCACATCCTTCACAATTGAAACAAAAAATTAGTTCATTTTCAGAACAAAGCATTATTAATTTAAGAATCACGAACCAAACAATGGTAAATAGGAAAACCCTTTCCAAAGGCTGCATGCCGAATATCTGGTTTGCAAATACAATGCATGCAGGAGAAATAAATTCATCCAAGCATAATTAAATTAAAAATGTCTTAAGTCTCTTTCAGCAGCATAATGGTTATTATTTTTAAAGTCTCCTCCAACCAGACTGGCCTGGGGATCAGATGCTGACCTTGGCTTTTCTACAACCATATAATGGTTTGAGCAGTCCCCGTGGCTTTGCACTGCGGCAATACCAGGAGACAAAGCCTATACATACTGTTCTGCTTCCCCCTCCTTGGACACAGCCTTCGCTGTACCACCTTTGCTCTCTTCACTCGCTGCTGCTGCTGCTGCTGCTGCTGTTTTTTCAGGAAGCGATGCCAAATCTTTGAAAACATCCACGTAATGCCCAAATCCCGGGCCCCAGTTCAAGAGGTTGTCCCAGTTGAAGCTTCCCGCCTGCTGCCCCAGCTTCCCGGGCAGGGAGCTGTCCCCGGCCGCGGTGCCAGCCGCCTGCGCCCCCACGGGCCCGCCCTCGCCGCGCCGCCCCGGGTACCGCCGGGGCTTCAGCCTGGAGCCGTAGTTGTCCTCGTCATCCGCGTCCGACTCGTTCACCTGGGATAACTTGGGCATCCTGGAGGTGTACGCCACGGGCTTATCCCGGTCGTACTCCATCTCGGAGCAGGTGAAGGACTCGTGCGAGTCGCTGTCGGAGGAGGACTCGGGCGCGGGAATGCCGTCGGCCGGGTTCCTCGTCCGGGACAGGGGCCTCCTGCAGTCCTCCTCCGACGAGGAGCGGCCGTGGTCTGCGCTGCAGATGCTGGGGTTCCTGGGGCGAGGGGTGTTG